TAAATATTTAAAGAATTTTAAAAGTGATTATAAATGTAATCAATGTTTTTGATGTATTGACATAACTATAGAGTGCATAAGTGGGCAAAAAGATAGTTCAGGAAATACCGAATCTGTTATTTGCTATTAAAGATCAGTTTAGACACCGATAAGGATGTGATTGGAGTTAATTTGTGTCCAAATATTTACAGTTAAAACTTGGATTCAGTATATATTACTGATTCCAGACATAGCAGACATACAGTATGTACTGTACTTTTAATCATCATTCTTGTTACAAAATCAGTTGTTACTACAATGCAAAGACACCAAGGTTAAAATAAAAATATAGTTTTTCGATATAGCAAATTCATTTGAACATGAATAAATTTATATATGTGTATAATTTATTGAATTTAATATTCAGTTTATTGAATTAAATCACATCTGTTTGTAAATTTAATTAATGTTATATTTTAACATTTCATTGGAAAATGAATTGCAACTTATAAATTATTATAACATATTAAAATAATAAATCTCGAACCTCTGATGTGTTTTCGAAAAAAATAAATTAAATTAATTTATATTCTTTGTTATTCTAAAAGTACTAAAACTCTACATTTATATTCATTTTATGATTTAAAATACAACAGTTGTAAGGAATTCATTAATCACTACTCAAATAGTGGGCAAAACATTAAAACATAATTTTAAATTCAAAATTAAATTAAAATTTATATTTAATTCATTAAATATCTTAAAGCTATTTTGATTTACATTGGTTTATTCTTTATGCTAAACTAGCTTTTAATGTGTTTAATCCGAACATAATTAGAATAAACAGTGTTTTAATGAATTTAATGAAAAAATTTAGAAAGTTTTTAAACATTGAAATTTCTCAGCTTTTGGCTAGTTTAGAAAATACTTTATAGTTTAAATATTTTTATTTGAATAAATGGTTTTAATAAACTAACAATAATTAAAATGACATTAGTATAGTTTTACAAATTAGGGTAATTTTAAATAATATGTAAATATATAGCCTCTAACTATTAACAACATAGTTTAGTCTATATTTATTTTTAATAATCAATGTTATTAATTTCAAGTTGGAAATCGGAACAAAATGTTGTAGAAGTGTGCAATAATTAACTAATAGAAATATTTTTATATTACATTTTGTTTGTTAAATTTCAAAATCATTAAATTCAATGGTTTCTCAAATCATTGTCAATATTTTAAAAACTTTATTACTTATATTCTGTTTAATATATAAATATCATTTTGTAATGGAATACATGTATGATTGGCAACAATTCATTGCATTACTTGATTTTTGATATTTATATAGCAACAACCATTTGAATATATCATTGTTTTATTGCTTAATATCTCAGGAATATTAATTGTCAAAATCAGATAGAGTCTTATATTATATTATATTATTACAAAGTCATTAAAATCACATTCCTTTTGTTGGTTGTATTGCATTTATAATTTGGTGCTTTCGGTTAACTTTCAGTTTTGAGATATTGGAAGTTCGTGTAAAAAACTTTTGTTACATTGAAATTAAGAAATTACTACACAATCATTCTTTTGGTTAATATATTACAGTATAACATGTGATATAACAATTCATTGAAAATAATATTTTAATGTGTTATGATAAAACTTCTTAGAATTCGATAAATTATTCTTAAACACTATTTCTAAGGGGTGTATGGAATCACCACTCGTGTACTTTTACAATGTGCTATTATTAAAATTTAAAATGGCAACAGCATGGTTATGTTACTATTAGATAGTTGAGTGTACATGTTGTATTTTAATAAACCGAATGCATCAAAGAATTAAAAAGCGTTTTCTATAAAGAGAGATTCTTTTGGGGAAAGTTGGTTTATGTAAATGCACTGTACATACAATATGCTGTATATTTAAATGTATTAATAGTACTAGTTTATTAGTACAAAACCTAATTCTTTATTAAATTACTGTATTGTAGTGTACTCTAAATTTTATATACCTGTATGTACACTAACTACTGTACAGTAATAACTACAGTACACTCAACTTTTAATATTCAAAGCCCTGGTATTTGAATAACAAATGCCAAGATTATAAAGGCTGGACATGTTTGCCAAATATAATGCTAATCACTGGCATGGCTTCAAATGGCCGGGAATTGCATGTATTGCTACACTAATCACAACATTCTGTTGTTTCCAAATTAAATAAAAAGTTATTAAAATCTCAAATGATTGCAAAAATATAGTAAAATTGAATAATAATTTTGGTATAAAAAGTTCACATTAGGTGTATTGAGTGCATGAGGAACGAAATGTCCTTTCAGTTTTGTCAAGGACTATTTGTTTGCACTCAAAGTGCATGCTTTACAAAATAATAATCCGGTCGTTATTTGCATTAAATATAGCTAAAAATAAGGATATTCTAAATGTTTGTTACAATTATATTAATATATAAATTATAAATACAAATAAAATCCTTTTTAAAAATTTTGTAACAATATATGTAATTAAATATTTTGTGCAATGATTTATTTTGTTCGTACATAATGTTCATTGCATAAGTTATGTAACAAATTAATTGTTGGTCGAAAAGTTAATTTAAGTGCAGTANTTGCATAAGTTATGTAACAAATTAATTGTTGGTCGAAAAGTTAATTTAAGTGCAGTAACTACAGTATAATCATATCTCATAATCAAATAAATTACTTTAGATATAAAATGAATGGTACATCTGGTGAGAAATTAATTAATAACTGTATTTATATTTAGTTATAAAGGAAAATATAATTTATTAAATAAATTTCGATTAGTTTAACAAAGTTAATAAACGACTGGTTATGACATCATTGAATACATGTGTTTGGCATTGGCTTACGTGGCATTCAAACCATTATTAGACATAAATTCAATTTAAAGAATATAACAAATTAAAGTTTTTAAGTAATATAAGTAGCGATCGGTCTGTAAATCGACAACAAATATAGCCTAAAGGCTGAGAGCAAAAGAAGGCGAAAAACAGCTTTAAATATCTGACAATTGAGTTGTGGTTTTGCATTGCTTTCGATACCTGCGATCAGTGAAACTCGACTCTCCAGCCAAACAACTGTTTGATTGACTTTCAATTGGGTCAGTACTTCATTCCTATACATTGCTATACAATTACAATTCTCATACTGGTATGCAATCAACACATGGTTTGGTCGGTCGTGATGTGGTCTGAGCTGTGTTTAGGTGTTTTGATAGTCAGTATCGGTGTTGACATTACATAGCATTGAGCACTTGGTGTGAGCACAGGACTGAGCACAGGCCCAGACACAGCACATGCCGTCCGGAGACTGCGCTAATCAACAAACACTACATTCAAACTATCACTCATTTGACGGCAACACAACACCCATCGGGTCTCACATTGACATCAATTGAAGCATTAAATGGTCGGCAAATGAAGGGATTATCTGTAAAGAGCACATACCTGTCCTCCAGTCTCACACATCGCTATCCAATACTAAACCACCAAAACTCACACAACAAAATGGACGGCACGAACCACTCAGCACTCGCACCCATAGGTGGCGCCAACCACTACACCACTCAACCCACCCAACACTGAACCCGCGGCCAACCGCTGGCCAACACTCGCCGCCATTCACTGGACGGCCAGACCGTCGCTCACTCACCGCATTGACCGTCGCTTTCACTCGTATCTCAATGTATAACACATTTATGGCATATATTTGTTGTTTCGGGAGTTTTGGGAAACGGATGTTGGGATGCATTCGGTTGTCATGACAACAGTATATTTCTCTACATTTACTTTCCTTACGGTTTGTGTGACATAAAAGTTTATATCGACGTAATCTATGGACACAAAAGGGGGACAAACTATAGCTGAGACTGTATTATAAGAGTGCATACCATAGAAGTGATGCACTGATTGGCTGTTCACAAGTTGTTTGCCATAAAAAACGATTGAAAAAAGAGATTAAAAACTTTTTATTGTGGAAACAATGAATGCATTCATTGATTGATTGATTGCAACATTTAGTTAGCGTTTGATTGAATGGATCGACAAATGAGTGATTAATTTAATTGAAAAGTCGATGCATTGATTAAATATATTGAGTACTGATTGGCATTGAATTGACTGCACATTCCCTGTATATCTCATTCACTGTTTACTGTTATATTCAGTCATTGATTGCCATTCAATGCCAAACCATTTGAAAGCGTAAATTGTATGCAAAGAAAAAACATATTTTCATTAATTAAATGCCATTTTAGTAATTGAATGGAAAACTGTTTGAAACAATGATTTGTTGACAATTATAGGAGAAAAACAGATGCAATGTATGCATAGTTTCGGTATTCATTGAAAACGCTTTACCCTTAACTCCGCCTCCGATTTGACGCCATTTTTGTTGTCGGCTTTCAAACAATTTGTTTACCAACGGATCTATTGTTGAGTCGAAGAGTTGTGGAAAACAGACATAAGGATCTAACGCTGCCATAACTGCCATAGTCTCGAAAGTGATATAATGGACACTACATTGCCATCGAGTGATTCGGCGTCAGCTGTTGTCCAATCGGTTCAATTGGAGGTCTGTCCGGGCGGTCAGTCGGTGTCAGTTCACCGACCATTTGATCCCTTAGACTATGACTTGGAGGCGAGTTTCCGATTGACGCGGTTTTCCGAACTTAGAGGATGAGGGTCTAAAGTCCCTCAGGAACTGCTTAGTCGGCTCTTAGAGGGACTCAAGTCGGTCAACGCCAGTCATGACGGACTTGCCTCCAGTCACGACTCCCATCACATCCATAATCACATCAACCATTCATCCAATGAATCACATCAACAATACTTTCATCAAGAGATGGGTCTCCCGAAGATCGGTATTATAAGCGTTGATCCACACAAAGAAACCTTTGTTATTATCTCATCAAATATGTAGGCATTGGTATGGATTGTGCAGTAATACCGATACGACACGGAGGACTTGTCCTCATTCAGACTGTCGATTATTTCTACCCATTGGTTGACGACCCGTATATTATGGTAGTTGTCGTTACATAACATTTACCACATTTCAAATAAATGTTATATAATTTTGTGCCCGATTTAGGGGAAGATTACGTGCGCTAACGTATTGAGTGATTTGTATGCCATGGGAGTCACTGATTGTGATAATATGTTAATGATATTAGGGGTCAGTCAGAAGATGACTGAAAAAGAGCGCGATGTTGTCGTTCCCATCATTATGAGGGGATTCCGGGTATTTATCTGACATTTTGGGTACAATGTGTTGACTACTATCTCAATAGGACACTGCTTTCGAAGCGGGAACACAGATAACCGGCGGACAAACAGTCATAAATCCTTGGCTTACGATAGGAGGAGTCGCGACCAGTATTTGTCAGCCGACAGAATATATAATGTAATTATATTTTATTAAATGATTGCCAACCCATTGATTGGTGTGAAAACAATTTAACGCAACATTTATACGGATAGTCCCGATAACGCAGTGGTTGGCGATGTATTAGTGCTGACAAAGCCGTTGGGAACACAGGTGTCCAGCATTTCGTACCAATGGCTCGAACAGTCGGACAAATGGTCACGAATTAAATTAGTGGTCACTGAAGACGATGTACGCAAAGCATACCTGAGGGGAATGGACAGTATGAGTCGCCTCAATCGTATCGGTGAGCCCTATAAGTGATTGACATGTTTGCGTTAACGACATTGATTGACATGTTTGCTGCCATATGTCTAGCATCGCGACTAATGCACAAATACAACGCTCACGGGGCCACTGATGTCACGGGGTTTGGCCTCTTAGGTCACGCGCAGAATTTGGCCAAAGTTCAAAAAAACGAAGTGTCTTTTGTAATACATAACCTTCCAGTGATCGCCAAAATGGCTGCCGTCGCCAAAGCGTGCGGTAATATGTTTCAACTACTTCAGGGACACTCACCCGAGACCTCAGGTCTGTTTGGCCGTTGCCTTCATTGTTAATGAATTGAGTTGTCTTATTGTACTATTGTATGGACAGGAGGTCTACTGATATGTTTGCCTCGAGAACAGGCGGCCGCCTATTGTAAGGACATAGAGAAACAAGAGGGCTATCAGGCGTGGATTATTGGCATCGTTGAGAAGGGCAACAGAAGCGCTCGCATTATAGACAAACCCCGGGTTATTGAAGTGCCCGCAAAGGAAAAGGATGGCGAGCTTTGGTAACATTTATTATTTTTATATAACAAACCATCATTTCATTCATAAAATGACCGACTTTTTCACTCAATTTAATTCGTTTTGCAATGATTTTTGAGTGATAGCCCTCTCTAGAGGTTCACTCAGAATGATGTCTTCAAAAAGAAACGAATTTTATACGCTTTTTAAAATAAAATCATTATATTTACTATATATCTGTTTATGGAAAACATGTTTTATATCAACGCCCGTTATATCTGAATCGCGCGTTGCGGACAGTCCTGTCGGGAACCGCACGGAAGGCCGTTATCCGATACGTCGAGCCGTTTATTACAAAAGTGACAGCTCTTTGCGTCATAAAAGTCTTGATGCAGAGGAAGTCCCGTATCTTTCCATACCTTAAGCATATCGTCGACAAACGTGTCGATCATATGCTTCTCATGGAAAGGTGTCGGTGCGATACGAAGTCTTTCCTGTCCTTTGGCGACAGTGGGATAGTTAATGGCCTGAACGTAATGCCCATATCTGCTGAGCATTTCGTTACTAATCCACGTACACATCCATGGATTGCCCACAAGTATTGGTATTATATGACTGGCACTGTTCATCTGCGGTAAACCAGCCTCTCTTAGCGCCGATTTCATATACTTGACGTTCTCCTGATGTCTATTTCTCAGTTTCTCTCCTTCAGACCCTTTCAGTATCTGTGCGTCAAATGTTTGATTAGTATTTTATAATGTAAATGAAAGTCCTAGCAATGCATTACCCGAACTGACTCGAGCGCACCCGACAGCACGATAGGGGGCAGAGAAGTGGTGAATATAAAGCCGGCCGCATAACTACGGATCATATCAATCAATGTTGAACTGCTAGCTATATATCCGCCGACGTTTCCAAATGCCTTTCCTTTTGAACCAAATTTAATCATTAGAACAATGTTTAATATAAGTTATATTATATAACTAAGATTTAATATCGGTATTTACCTAAAGTGCCGGAAACAATATCTATTTTATCCATTACTCCATCCCTCTGTCCAACTCCGGCCCCATTCTTGCCATAGAGGCCTACGGCGTGCACTTCATCCACAAATGTTATAGCATTATATTCGTGTGCGATATCGCAGAGCTCTTCGATCGGACTAATGGCACCTAAAATTCATTCATTTCATTACTTTTCAGTTTCAATAAACCATTAATTTAATCATTTTCTTTGAAATGTCAAATATGTCATTAGTTTTAAAGTCATTAAATAAATTGTTGTAATTTTCCACTCAATTAGCATAAAAAGAATTTATCAATAATTAGTGAGAACTTCGAGAATATAGAGTAGAGTAATGTTGAGTTTGTGTAATTTATCTAGAGGCTCTCTAATAAATAGTTTTGCATTCACTATTTGGCAATTCCTCAGGACTTGCGTAACCTTTAAATTTAATGATTCATTTAATCTGTTTAGAAATTTGTTATTCTGTACTAAAGTTGTGTGAAAATTGAAATTTCCAATAATGTGTTGTCCAATAATTGAATCCATATTTAATATTAATATTAAGTAAAATAAATATTTACCTGTCATGGAGTGGACGGTCTCGAAGGCGACAATTTTGGGCACAGAGTAGTCGACTGATTGAAGCATTTGCCGCAAGTGTTGGGCATCACAGGTGCGGAACACATGTTTGGGAACCTGACTGTTACGGATCCCCATAATCATCGACGCGTGGTTTCCGGCGTCAGAGAATATATGACAATCTTTGGGTAAAATTAATCATTTGTTAGATGAGTATAACAGGTGTTAGGGTTTGATATGACATACTCGGCAAAGCTTTGGCCAAAGTAAACAAAGTCGAGTCGTTGGCCACAAAACACGAGGTGAATAATAGGGCCGATTCTTTGCGGTGAAGGTCTGCCAATTCATTTTCCAACTCTTCGTGAAGTGGAGTGTTTCCCGATATATTCCTTGTGCCTCCACTTCCCGATCCAAACTTCTCTACCGCTGAGCTATAATTAGAAATGTTTTATTACAAAATATTTTGATTGTAAACCAAAAGGAAATCGTTTTATTGACTTTGCATTGAGATAAAATTGTTGCATAGATTGTTTAGATTAGACTTACATTATAGATTGTTTCACTTTTGGATGAGCAGTCATTCCCAGGTAGTCATTACTGCACCAAACAGTAATAGGTTTGCATCCATTGGTCATCTCATTAGCGAACGGAACTTTCTCTGCAAAACGGGACACTTTTCTAAAGATCCGATAGCTATGGTCCGCCTTCTTCTTCTGGATCTGGTGTTGAAAGAACTCATTGTATTGGAAAGGCTTTCCTATTTTTGAATCAACAATAATAATAAGTTTAAAAGTTTCAAAACAATATTATTATCAATGTTACAAACTTTGAGTGTCAGCTTTGATGTCCTGAACCATCTCCGGATCGGCGGCTTTCAGAGTGGGCTTCACTGTCTGAAGGAATGGACATTCACTCATCTCTCCCACAGTTTCTGAATTATTGTCAATAATTGCTGCAATAAATACAACGTTCAAATATTGAACACAAACTGTTTATTGATAGATGTTTTTTGACTTACCATCAGTTTTGTGAAATTCATTTTCACGAGTTTCAGTTGAAGTTTCAGTGAAATCAGAATATTTTCGCGCAAAGTTTGTTGAGATTCTGGACATTACGGGACAGACCGGCAAATAATTGCGGACTAAAGTCGAGTAATTCCTTGCGAGGAATTGAGTGGATAATTGGCTGACGAAAGGACAGGGCATTCTTGCTATCGTTTCTCTTCGCTTCAAAGTTACTAAATAACAGAAAATGTTCTCAATCTTCAGGTTTAATATTTAAAAAAACTTCTTTATAATGAATAAGCGATTAAATAGATAAGAAAAAGTTGATGTATGGTTTGCGTAACCGATAGTAGTTGTGAACGTAAATAGTATGAGAATTGTATATTGAATAGCAATGTATAGGAATGAAGTACTGACCCAATTGAAAGTCAATCAAACAGTTGTTTGGCTGGAGAGTCGAGTTTCACTGATCGCAGGTATCGAAAGCAATGCAAACCACAACTCAATTGTCAGATATTTAAAGCTGTTTTTCGCCTTCTTTTGCTCTCAGCCTTTAGGCTATATTTGTTGTCGATTTACAGACCGATCGCTACTTATATTACTTAAAAAGTTAAATTTGTTATATTCTTTAAATTGAATTTATGTTTAATAATGGTTTGAATGCCACGTAAGCCAATGCCAAACACATGTATTCAATGATGTCATAACCAGTCGTTTATTAACTTTGTTAAACTAATCAAAATTTATTTAATAAATTATATTTTCCTTTATAACTAAATATAAATATATTTATTAATTAATTTCTCACCAGATGTACCATTCATTTTATATCTAAAGTAATTTATTTGATTATGAGATATGATTATACTGTAGTTACTGCACTTAAATTAACTTTTCGACCAACAATTAATTTGTTTTTATTAATTAATTTCTCACCAGATGTACCATTCATTTTATATCTAAAGTAATTTATTTGATTATGAGATATGATTATACTGTAGTTACTGCACTTAAATTAACTTTTCGACCAACAATTAATTTGTTACATAACTTATGCAATGAACATTATGTACGAACAAAATAAATCATTGCACAAAATATTTAATTACATATATTGTTACAAAATTTTCAAAAAGGATTTTATCTGTATTTATAATTTATATATTAATATAATTGTAACAAACATTTAGAATATCCTTATTTTTAGCTATATTTAATGCAAATAACGACCGGATTATTAGTTTGTAAAGCATGCACTTTGAGTGCAAACAAATAGTCCTTGACAAAACTGAAAGGACATTTCGTTCCTCATGCACTCAATACACCTAATGTGAACTTTTTATACCAAATTTTATTATTCAATTTCAGTATATTTTTGCAATCATTTTGAGATTTTAATAACTTTTTATTTAATTTGGAAACAACAGAATGTTGTGATTAGTGTAGCAATACATGCAATTCCCGGGCCATTTGAAGCCATGCCAGTGATTAGCATTATATTTGGCAAACATGTCCAGCCTTTATAATCTTGGCATTTGTTATTCAAATACCAGGGGCTTTGAATATTAAAAGTTGAGTATACTGTAGTTAGTGTAAAGTTAGTTTAGTACATGTAGGTAAAGTTTTTATATAAAATTTAGAGTACACTAAAGTACAGTAATTTAATAAAGAATTAGGTTTTGTACTAAATTAGTACTACTAATAAACTAGTACTATTAATACATTTAAATATACAGCATATTGTATATACAGTGCATTTACATAAACTAACTTTCCCCAAAAGAATCTCTCTTTATAGAAAACGCTTTTAAATTCTTTGGTGTATTCGGTTTATTAAAAATATAACATGTACAGTCAACTATCCAATAGTAACATAACCATGCTGATTGCCATTTTATATTTTAATAATAGCACATTGTAAAAGGTACACTAGTGGTGATTCCATACACCCCTTAGAAATAGGGTTTGAGAATCATTTCTCGAATTCCAAGAAGTTTTATCATAATATATTAAAATATTATTTTCCATGAATTGTTATATCACATGTTATGCTGTAGTTTATTAATTAAAACAATGATTGTGTAGTAATTTCTTAATTTCAATGTAACAGAAGTTTTTTACACAAACTGCCAATATATCAAAACTGAAAGTTAACTTTAATATTGAGATATTGGTTATTAAACTAAATAATTGTTTGCTGTAAAGAAAGTATACTGTATTATAAATGCATTACAACGAACAAAAGGAATGTGATTTTAAATGATTTTGTAATAAAATAATATAATATAAAATTCTACTTGATTTTGAAAATTAATATTCCTGAGTTACTAAGCAATAAAATAATGATATCCATATTATTGAATATATTTAAATAGTTGTTGCTAGATAAATATCGAATTTAATCAAATAATGCAATGAATTGTTGCCAATCATATTCCATTACAAAATGATATTTACAGTATATATTAAACAGAATATAAGTATTATTTCTGATTTCAAAATATAGACAATGATTTGAGAAACTATTGAATTTAATGTTTTTAAAATCTAACAAACAAAGTGTAATATTAAAATATTTATATTAGTTGATTATTTCACAATTCTACAACATTTTGTTGCTATTTTCAACTTGAAATTAATAATATTGATTATTAAAAATAAATATAGACTAAACTATGTTGTTAATAGTTAAAGGCTATATATTTACATACTATTTAAAATTACCCTAATTTTTAAAACTATACTAACAATGTTAATGTAATTTTAATTATTGTTAGTTTATTAAAACTATTTATTCAGATAAAAATATCTAAAAATATGTAAACTATAAAGAATTTTCTAAACTAGCCAAAAGCTAGAAATTTCAATCTTTAAAAACTTTCTAAATTATTTAATTACATTATATTAATGTTAAATTTATTCTAATTATGTTTGGATTAAACATATTAAAAGCTAGTTTAGCATAAAGAATAAACCAATGTAAATCAAAATAGCTTTAAGATATTTAATTCATTAATAAATTTGAATTTAATTTTGAATTTAAAATTATGTTTTAACTACTATTTGATTAATAATTAATGAATTCCTTACAAGTGTTGTTTTTTAAATCATAAAATGAATATAAATGTAGAGTTTTAGTACTTTTGTGACAATTTATTTAAACAATATAAATTTATTAAATTTATTTTTTTCGAAAACACATCAGAGGTTCGCGACTTATTATTTTAATATGTTATAATAATTTATAAGTTGCAATTCATTTTCCAATGAAATGTTAAAATATAACATTAATTAAATTTACAAACAGATGTGATTTAATTCAATAAACTAAATATTAAATTCAATAAATTATACACATCTATAAATTTATTCATGTTCAAATGAATTTGCTATATCGAAAAACTATATTTGTATTTTAACCTTGGTGTCTTTGCATTGTAGTAAACTGATTTTGCAACAAGAATTATGATTAAAAGCACAGTACATATGGTATGTCTGCTATGTCTGGAATCAGTAATATATACTGAATCCAAGTTTTAACTGTAAATATTTAGACACAAATTAACTCCAATCACATCCTTATCGTTGTCTAAACTGATCTTTTATAGCAAATAACAGATTCGGTATTTCCTGAACTATCTTTTTGCCCACTTATGCACTCTATAGTTATGTCAATACATCAAAAACATTGATTACATTTATAATCACTTTTAAAATTCTTTAAATATTTA